TGAATGGTGCCTTCAGATGCCGCCATGTTGGCTGATGGCGTGTGATGGAGTAGTTGTCTTATGTACATGTACCGGGTAAGTCCCAGGACAGGGATAACAAAATCATCACACTGAATAAATTGCTTAGTCAAACAACTACCTCTTGCAACTGATGTACATACAGTCCTGAGGCGCTGATATTCTCGCATGCTCGGTAATTGGTGTGTTCCCTCCTTAAGGGTATGTTTGGACAATTTCTTTGAACAGAACAGCCAAGAGTTAAGGCTGACCTTACCCTGGGAGAAGTTATAATTCTATGTCTTGTGCTACTTAGTAACTGATCTGGGGTTCACATGTACATGTGAATTCAATTGGCATTACCAGTAGCTGGCTTTGCCTTGAAACGTTTCTTAATATTTGGTTAATATTTGTTTGAGACACCAAAAAGCCTGAACTATCAATCACAGTTCAAAATTCTCGAGTGCTACTCGAAATGAAACTACTCGTAATAAAGTAAAAAAAAAAGGCTTTTAATAAAAGTGTTAGTTTCAATCCAGTAAAGCATACATGTACATGTGCCAGCATCCTACCCATATCATACATGTACAGTGTACGTGTTCTAAGAAGGCAGTTAAAATTGGACATTTCCTCGATAACTCCAGTCTGTTACCTGCCATGGCTTATGTTTCCTAATTAACAACTTCCTATTTATATATAGCTGTCAAAACTAAGTACAGATGTTCAACTTCTGAATTCCATGTTTGATCACCCTGCATCATCTAACCAAATAACAACAGGGAAATTTCAGCTACCGGTATTTGCTAAAAATAATGAACTAAAGGTCACTTTCCGTTCATTTCCAATTATTTTTTTTCGGGGGGGGGGCATATTTAAGTTTTTTTGTTCTCTAGCACACAATACAACAGTCTCATTCATACAGTGTAGTGCAAAAGAACTTTTTTAAAGCAACCCCATCAACAACCTGAGATGTGCAATGCAGGGACAAAATCTGGTTCTAAATGATTTTGTTGGATGCAGTAAGCCATAAGGTCTGGGTTTCTAACTCTGGTGCTGTAATTTACTCCAGGGTTGTTTTTTTCTTAAGTTCTGGGAGGAATTTTTTCAAAAATCTGTAGGAATTACAGCCGATTCTGATTGAATACATGTATATGGCATGTTCTTCATAAAATGGACCAAAATGCAACCTCGGCTGTCATTTTTCAAAACTTCTAAAAGAGTGACTTTGATCATGTAAAATACAAATTAGCACCTTCAGATCTATAAAAATGATTATATGGGGATACTTAGGCATAATATGTACTTATGGTGGACATTTGGTTGGCTACCAGTGGAAATCAAATGGAGTTGAATTCATATAAAGTTTTACGTCAAAGTGTTTACACCAGAGGACTTGATTTCAAAACTTCTCTCAACAAGAAGGAGAATTCAGTTTATTTTTCGACTATTTTAAAGCACCTAAAAAATAAATTTTACAAAATATAAGCCACAAAAAAGAGCACAAAATTGATGAGAAAAGTTTGGCTGTCTTCATTCTCTTACCGTTTATAATCACTCTTGCTATACCAACATATTTGCCAGGTCTTGTATATTTCGACTGCCAAAAATTATCTTTAAGTTTGGCTGCATCAAAAATTTATAATGAGTACAATATGTTCGTTGCGAACATTATATTTGACAGAATTTTGATTACGTTCGATAATTTTGACAGAAACAAAATGTTTCTCTAACGTCACCGCGAGAGATTGATGGAAGCCGCAAAATCGCCACCATTGGTATTTTGGACTGCGGTTTCCAGGAACATACTTGAAGAAAATGTGATCAGTCCAGTCCTAAAAGGATGATGGTTTGGCGGTGCTTTTTTTGCACTCTTTTTTAAAGCTTGTGTTGTACATCGATATATGGATTTTACTTGCTTTTTTTGCAGTTGATTTTTTTGACACTAATGACAGAATTGAATGACATTT